TCCTATATTGGTGAAACGAAAAATCTCCTAAAAGACCGCATCACCCAACAAAAATATTCTGTATCCTCTCGTAATTTTACCGCCTCCAAATTATCCGAAAATTCTCTCTCCCTCAATCATACATTTGATTTCGACAAAACATCTATCCTTGCCTCAGTTCTCAACCATGACAAATGACTCATTTCTGAAACCCTCCACATCCAGCTTCAACCAAAGACAGTGAATCTAAAAACAGACAAGCAGAATTTTTCTTTAGCCTAGTCCCAAATTCTGAACTTATTAAAACATCCATAGTTATATTCCTTTCCTTTTTGCTGACAACTTCCTTATATATATATATATATATATATATATATGATTTATTTTTATTTCAATTATTCTCCCTTATTAATCAACAGTTATTTTTCTTTTGAATTTTCCATCCTCTTTCTATTAACTTTCGTTCAATTTTCCATAATATTTCTGAGTAATATATCACTCGTCCCCATTTACACTTCCAGTACTTTAGTTCAAACTTCGTCAGATAACCGTTAAAGATGACGCCACAATATATCTCTTCTCTCTCCCCCTCCCTTGCTACGACTTTTATTCTCCCTGCAACACTGTTGGAGACAGGTACTTCTTCTTTTATTTCTTTCTTATTTCAGCTTTCTCAGTTTCTTCCCTCTGTTTTAACTCTTTATTATATTATAAATTGTCTGTATATCTTGATAGACTTTACAATATCTCAATTTTCTATCTAACTACTCCATTCTCAATGTCCTAATTTTACTATTTATTTTCATTTCTTATATAACTTCATATTTCTTTTTTATGTTTTACATTTTATTCTAAGATTCCCACTTTTTACACTTATGTCACCCTTTTTGATTATGCTTACTTCATCATTCCACACTTTGTAACGGTTATTATTATTTATCTCTTAGTTCTTACTATTGCCATTATTCTAACAACTTCATTTTACTTTATTTTTTTACTATCACTACTTATGTTTCTCATACCTTGTTATCTGGTTCTTTTCTTAGCCCTGATGATATCCTGAACTTCAGGTCGAAACGTCAACAAATGTCAAAATAAATATTATCATTTATTTTTGCCTTCTTATTTGACTGATCACCCCAACTATTCTTCTCTTCATTATCTGTATAGTGATTGAGGACATCTTGTATTAATTGTTTATTAAATTTTAAATTCGACTATAATCGTCCTATCTTTTTGTCTACATTGGAAGAATTACTGTGTACTAAACCCGGGCGTTGATCCGAGCTTGGCTGAAAGGTTGGAATGGGCTTCTATACATAACATGTGCTTAATAAAATATAGGCTCTGATAATATTATAAGATAATACATGTGTAGTTTTCATAAATGCTAGAGTTGGTATTATTGAATATTTAATTGCATAAATTATAAACTGTACATACCGCTTGTATATGGACCAAATAACAATGCACCCGCTGCAGAAAAAGACATGTTCTTTGAGACATTGCAAAGGGAAATAGACGATAGCGATGTAACCCCTATTATTATGAGAGACTTAAATGGCAGGATTGGCAATGATAACAAAGTATCGCAGGGAACCTAAGGAAGAAATGGTGAAGAACATCTCAATGACTCAGGAGAACAAATATTGAACCTATGTCTCGTAAACGGAATAATCGTAGGAAATAGCATATTTCCACATAAAAGAATACACCAATATACAAGAGTGGAACCAGGGTGAAATGAAAAATCAATAATAGATTACTTTCTCATACCAAGGGAAGAAATTAAAAAGACAATAGACGTTAGGGTGAAGAGAGGCACAGAAATTGGTAGCGATCACAGGCTCCTGAGGATGGACATCAGTCTGAATAAAGTTTTGCTAAGGAAATAAAATAAAAGGTATCAAAAAGAGCAAAAGATAAATGCCTTCAAATTGAAAAATGAAGAAATAGCAACTGCCTATCAAAACATAATAGATGTTAAGGGAACACATCAAACTTTCCATTTAAATGTAATCAAGAAAAAACAACACAGCTGTGATCTCGAGCATACTGCATATATATCTCAGATGTTATTGTGATATATTGTGAGTCCGCCATTACTGAAGCGTAGACACTCACCTAGCGCAAGAGATTCACTAAACTGACCAGTTAGAAAATTCGTTATTCCACTGATTTGCTGAACATGGAGTAAAAAACTACAGCGGCCGGTAAGGGGCCAAGAAATGAAGAGAGAGAAGATAAACAAGAAGATTGCCAAATAGAAGAAAAAAAAAATGTAAGTATCCCAATCCACCTATATTTAACTCCTGTATAAAATTCAAAATTATAAAATAAAGCAATCAATTTCACATCATCACTTTTTTAGTCCACTCAATTCTTTACTTTATAGTCCACAGCAATAAATTATTACCAGCTATTACAGCAGAATTACTATGTCAATATCTCTGACAGACGTGGAAGGGATTGAGATAGTAAATTAAACAATAGAAGAAAAGGTTCTTAGTGGAATATAGCCCTGGGACTCGGACAACGTTGAAACAGCTTGGTCCGCTTTCAAGAAACTTCTGATGGACTCAGCAGAAATAACTTGTGGAAAAATAATTAGCGGGCAAAGACTAAAGAGAACCACATGGTGGAATGAAGAGGTCAAAGAGGAAGTCAAAAGGAAGAAGATGTATTGGAAGCAATATCTAAAATTGAATTCCCCTAATGATTAAAAAAAATACCTAACTCAAAGACAAAATGTGAAAAACAAGGTTATAGAAGCCAAAAGGAAAACGTGGGAGGATTTTGGAAGAAAGATGGAAGACAAAGTCCGAGAAAATAAGCTTTTCTACAAAATGCTTCGAAACATGTGCAAAGAGAAAGAACCTGTTCTCAAGCGAATTAACGATAAGGAAGGAAATATTCTAACAAGCAACGAAGGAATCATGCAGAGATGGGCTGAATACTTCAAGGAACTTTTGGACGAAAATACTGAAGACAAAAATCAAGAAGCTGGATGGTCGAACATGATCGAGTTGGAAGAAGATTTTATCAGTAAAGAAGAAATTATGGATGCTATAGTCTCACTGAAAACAGGAAGATCAGTGGGAATAAATAGGATTTCCCCTGAAATGATCAAGTATATGAACCAAAAGGAGATAGAAGTATTCCAGCAAACTCTAAACATTGTTTGGGAAACAAAGAACATTCCAAAGGATTGGGAAGTATCTGTTATATTACCAATATTTAAGAAAGGGGACAACAGAGAATGTAAAAACCACTGGGAGATATCTCTTCTTAGTGTCCTGAGTAAAATAAACTCAAAGATTTTAACTTGCCTATGAAGAACAGTAGAACCCTCCCTGAGTGAAGAACAATAAAATCTTCCCAGAGTGAAGAACAATATGGATTTAGGCCAAATAGAAGTACCCAGGATCTCATATTTACTTTAAGACAAATTTCTGAAAAATTAATAGAAAGGGACAAAGAGATATATGCTTGTTTTGTAGACCTCATTAAGGCATTTGACCGAGTGAAGAAGCAAAATATAGCAAAAGCCTTAGAAGACAAAGGCATCAAAACGGGCCATCGTAAGGCAATTCTAAGCCTCTATAAGACCCAAAAAAATGTTTTGAGAACATTTACACTAGTTTAGACATTTACACTAGTGCTAAACAATGAAATAAAAATAGAAAAAAAAATATGAGATCATATCAAATGGGATACAGAAATCGACAGCCTGTATTTTTCTTTCTGTTCGCTTATGCAGACGATTTGAAGGTTTTCGGAAGCAATGGACAAAACCTGCAATTCAACCTCCGTATTCTTCAGGAAGAATTAAATATGCGAATAAATGTGGAAAAAACCAAAACTATGAGGATTGTCAGAAAACAAGGAAGAGGAGACAGAATAGTGCACACGAGTGGAGTTCCATTGGAACAAGTGAAGAATTTTAAATATCTCAGTACCCACATCAATGAACATGGATGGACCGATGGAGAAATAAAGGAACGAGAGAAGTCTGCAGGAAGGTGCTTCAACCCCATCAAGAAAGGATTCTTGAACAAGAGAGAAGTGAACAAGGAGACCAAAACGACAGTGTACAAAAATACTTTCCTCCCGATAATGACCTATTCCAGCGAATCATGGACTCTCACCACAAAAAACTTCAGTCAGATTCAGGCCATAGAGATGCGATTCCTGGGCAGGGTCGAAGGAAAAACAAAGAGAGATTGCATAAGAAACTCCATAATACGGAAAAATCTAAACGTAAAATCAGCCAAAACTATGATGGAGGAAAATTGTTTGAGATAGTTTGGTCATGTCTCTCGAATGACCAGGATAACATTGAAAAGTAAAGTTGAGGGAAGAAGACCTCAGGGAAGGCCCAGGAAGATCTGGGAGGTCAGTGTCAAGGAGGCCTTTAACAGAAGGGATATTGACTGGTGGAGGCGGCAGTTGGCTCAGGATCGAGAGTTCCTGTTCACACCATTCAGCGGTAGAAGTGGAAACGATTAAGAAGAAGATTATAAAATTTAAAATCCGTGTTTACCAAATAAAAATATCCACAATGAAATATAAATAAATATAGTGGTAATCTCGTCAGACTAAAAATATTTCATGGCACTTAATTATTTATTATTATAATCAAATATACAATCGTAAAGAAAATGGTTATTGACAAAAAAAAATTAAATTAGACAGCTATGAAAAACATATGGTAATTAATTGTTTTAAATAATATTTCATACTGTCAATAATTTTTACTTTCACATCCCTTAGTCTGAAAATACTTATTTCTACTAAGAAAACGGTGGTAAATGAAAGTTGTGTGATGCATGCATTACACCAGATTTTTAATTTTGCATCATAAAAATGTATAATTACTCCACAAGATATAAATGTTAGTAAAAACTGTTTCTACTATATTTAATCCAATAAGAATAAGATTATATCAAAATATTTATCATAAAAAAAGTTAAAAATTTAATTAATATATTAAAGCACACATAAGTATAGAAAAAAAATACCTTTATACATGACATTAAACGGATAATAATCAGTAGAAGGTGGAATCACAAAATTGAATTCTAATGCTGCTTCATTGAATAAATCAGGATGTATGAAGAATTCTAGTTCTTTTCCCATATTCGGTTTAGTGTCTAGTTTTAAAATTCCAGCATCAACCTTAAAGAAAAAATGGAATAAAAAAAAAATTATATATATATATATATATATATATATATATATATATATATATATATATATAAAGAGAGAGAATAGAATAGAAAAATCAACTTTATTCTGGGACTATGTCCTTTAAGAATAACAGTACAAACAAAAATTATGAGCAATTCTGGCAATAAGACCGATTACAAAGCCAGAAATTAAACTAAATACCTATTTTTATACATAGTTAAAAGTGAAAAAAAATAAAAACAAATATATTAAATATCTGATAAGAAAAAGTAAAATGAAATATTCCCTACTAAATAGATTATACAGAAAGGATAATTAAATTATTGTATAAGCAAACACACTTAACTACCAAAGAAAAAGATAAATAAACAAATTGCAACTTCTGCTGTTTAAAAGATGTACAACTAACTAAACATAATTGTTTAGAAGAAGTGATAAATAAATAAACATAATAGTAAACTGTTAACAAAGGCTCTGTACAAAGTAATATAAAATATGTATTCTTAAATAAGGAGATGGAGATGGTCTAGGGTGGTGGCCATAAAAAGACTAAAATAGTGAAAATAATATTTTTATCTCAAGCCAATGTTTTTACCCAACTTTGCTTTCAGGACTAGAATGAACAAGATACAAAAGAGTATAGAAAAATATGGAAGTTTTATGATATTTAGATAAAAATCATAAACAGAGTGAATACATTTATTAAAATTATAAAAAAGTGTGAATAGAAAGTAAATAGAAATAGAGTAAACAAATTATAACTAAGTAACTAGCCCCTAAACTGAAGTAAATAAATGGTAACAATTATTGTTGATAGGGAAAATTGAATATAATAGGAGGATGGATAATATACGTACTTATGAATATAATCCTACAAATTTCAAGGAAAGATTAAAAGAAAAAGGAAAAATAATAAGACTTAAAAAGAAATAGAAACTTAAATGTGTATGCAGCAAAGAGTTTTGGTTGACTGTCAAGTCATGGGGAAAATAGCTGAAATTGTTGGGGGTGGTGGGGTGAAGTAGTAAAACAAAACCAAGAACCAGGAACATTACAACATTTAAAATTTGAAGACATTGAAGAACACAAGAAAACATATATTACCTATGTACTAATTAATTATAAGTATATATTGTAATGTTCACGTTTATTGTAAGTGGCTAAAAAGGATTTAATAAATTAATGTTCAACAGTTAAAAGGCAAGCTAATCTAGTTCTACTAGTGCAGGGAAAAGAAACTGGCTGCTCTGTAGGTTCCCAAGAAGGAAAATCCCAAAGAGGAGAGGGACAAAGGTTTTTGTTTTGGCAAGCAGTTGATGTTTGACTGTAGTGAAGAGAGGATAAGAGAAGAGATCCTGGCTCCAGTGGGTAAAATCCAATAATAGTACTACCATCTTGAAAGTTGTTGTTTGGAATCACAAGAGAGAGGATATCTCAGGAAGCTTGAGTTGAGTTGATGAAAGTGTTACCATTTTAGAAGGTGTGTTTGGCAGAACTTTGGAAAAAGTTTGAAGATAAATGAATTTAGTACAACAAAGGAAGAAACATTGTATATAGAAAAAAGGTGAGCTTGCCAATCCATATTTGACTTTATTTAAAAATCAAACAGTGTTTAGTATAGTTAATTTTAGTTTGTATGATTGTTTTGATCTGATTGCCAGTAACCCACACCTGAGTATAAATAAATATATTAATTCTCTTATATTTTTTTTTTATTATTAAACAACCTCTTATTTATTCAGGAAGTACCCCAATGGTAAGAAGTGAGCTTCCAAGGTGATATTATTATTTGTCAAATATAAGAGAGATGTTACATTTTATACACATAAAAGATAGAATCAAGAAATTATAGATAAAATTACAATGCAAATACAAAATAAAAATGAAATACTGTCCATAGAAGTAGAATGTAAATATAAAAATAAAATAAAAGATAAAGGAAGGAGATGGCCCGGGGGTCATAAATAGGCTAAATAGTGATAAAACTATTTTATTGAAAACCGACGTTATAATATGAAATAATAGACATAAAAGAATGTGGAAAAAGAAAACCAAAAATTAAATAAATAAGTAAATAAAATGGAAGAATAAAATTAGAGACTTACAGGTGTGTTCAGCTAGGAGTTTCACTTAGAACTGGAAAACCAGGGGTGAGGGCAGGTATAGGGGAAGCTGACTTGTTTGGGTAATGGGGAAAAACCTAGAAAATTACAGTATCTAAAATTTGAAGATATGGATGGATACAATGGAAAAAATACTATATCTATGAAATATTAAATTATAAATATATACATATAAAATAGAATTAAGAGATTATAGATAAGATTACAATGTGAATAAACTCAAAATTGGCAAAAGTAAAATATAAATATAGAAATAACTTCATTTACATACATAAATTGCAGAACTAACTTAAAAGTATAGAGAGGGAAAAAATTAATAATTATAATTATATTTTGTTGTACATATGTAAGAAAATTACATTTGAATATTAGATAATATTGAGACATGGTTAATAAGTAAAATGAATACAAAGTGGAAAAAGGATGATCATACATTGATGTAGAGTGTAAATATAAATTTAAAATAAAATAAAAGAGATCATACAAAGCGGAAATACTTGGAATAATGAGCAATTAAATGAATTAATCAATAAAAATTGAGAGTATATAAAAATAAAAATAATAGAATGTAATATATAAGTTATTTTTTACTTATAAGATTTAAAACGTGTCTATATGTTAAAGTAATACAGTTTTTATCTACTTTATGATTAACAGGATTTTGTTCTATGTGAATGTGGATAGATTCGGAAATGAGTCTTTTTTCATGGTTATTGACCGTGGCAAGGAGAGAGGTTTTTTCAAAATCAAATGAGTGGTTGAGGTTTAAGGCATGTTCTGATAGTTTGGAGGTGGAAGGGTTCCGGGAAGTTATGGATGTTTTATGTTGGGAAATGCGGGTTTTGAGATAGTTTTTGGTTTCACCAATATAGGAGTAGAGCAAGGTAACTGGTAAACTACATTAGATCGGTGTTGTAAAAGTATGGGATCCTTCAAGTTGGTTAAAAAGAAAGAAAGTTTGAATGAGGAAAGAATTTGAGGGATGATGTCAGTGTTAAGATCAAGGAGGAGGTCCTTGACATATTTTTTGATGAAAATGATGTCTTGATGAAAAGAAGGGATAACAGAGTCTAGAGGTCATTGAGAACAATATTGGAAATATCTGGTGCTAAAGAAATTCCCATGGCTAGGCTGATGAAAGAATTTTCCCTGGAAGGTGAGGAATCCGAATCTGCAACAGAGCTCAAGGGATTCAAGGTATGAGGAGAGGTTAATGGTGGTGTGAGGTTCAATGATTGTCCAGTTTTTCTGTACAATGTGGAGGGCTTTGTCTATTGGGATGTTGGTAAAAAGACTTTCGGCGTTTAGGGAATCAAGGAAAAAGTTGTCAGGAATATGGAGAGGAGATAACTCTTCTTTAAGGTGGAATGAATTATTAATATCATAAGGATTATTGTGACTAAGTTTTTGGAGAGAGGGTAAAAGGAATTTGCTGAGTTTAGCTGAGGGGGCGTTAATATTGGAGATGATAGGGCGAAGGGGATTTCTTAAATCGGGAGAAATCCCCTCCGCCCTATCTCAGTACCACCAAGCCAACACTCAGCGTGTCAAAAATATACTCCTCTCTAATAATTTTCCTCTCAACACCATAATTAAACTTTTAAACAGCTATACAACCTCCCCTTCTCCTAACTCCCCACAATCATCTATCACTCCTTTCATATACAAATCTCTCCCCTATATTCCTATTCTCTCAGATAATATACAAAAATTCCTAAAATCGACTATAACCAACTTAGGTCTTGGCCTTAAGTCCCATAACAAACTTTCTTTCTTTTTAACCAACTTGAAGGATCCCATACTTTTACAACACCGATCTAATGTAGTTTACCAGTTACCTTGCTCTACTCCTATATTGGTGAAACCAAAAACCATCTCAAAACCCGCATTTCCCAACATAAAACATCCATAACTTCCCAGAACCCTTCCACCTCCAAACTATCAGAACATGCCTTAAACCTCAACCACTCATTTGATTTTGAAAAAACCTCTATCCTTGCCACGGTCAATAACCATGAAAAAAGACTCATTTCCGAGTCTATCCACATTCACATGGAACAAAATCCCGTTAATCATAAAGTAGATAAAAACTGTATTACTTTAACATATAGACACGTTTTAAATCTTATAAGTAAAAAATAACTTATATATTACATTCTATTGTTTTTATATCAACTTTCAATTTTTATTGATTAATTCATTTAATTGCTCATTATTTCAAGTATTTCCCCTTTGTATGATCTCTCTTTTATTTTATTTTAAATTTGTATTTACACTCTACATCAATATATGATCATCCTTTTTCCACTTTCTATTCATTTTACTTATTAACCATGTCTCAATATTATCTAATATTCAAATGTAATTTTCTTACATATGTACAACAAAATATAATTATAATTATTAATCTTTTCCCTCTCTATACTTCTAAGTTAGTTCTGCAATTTATGTATGTAAATGAAGTTATTTCTATATTTATATTTTACTTTTGCCAATTTTGAGTTTATTCACATTGTACTCTTATCTATAATCTCTTAATTCTATTTTATATGTATATATTTATAATTTAATATTTCATAGATATAGTTTTTTTCCATTGTATCCATCCATATCTTCAAATTTTAGATACTGTAATTTTCTAGGTTTTTATTCATTACCCAAACAAGTCAGCTTCCCCTATACCTGCCCTTACCCCTGGTTTTCCAGTTCTAAGTGAAACTTCTAGCTGAACACACCTGCAAGTCTCTAATTTTATTCTTTCATTTTATTTACTTATTTATTTAATTTTTAGTTTTCTTTCTCCACATTCCTTTATGTCTATTATTTCATATTATGTCCTTTTTCCTTTTCTTTCAATCTCTCCTG